TCCCCTGAGGACAGAGGGTTGGGGTTCAGGAGGGAGTGCAGGGTACAGGTTCTGAGTGGGAGTTTGGGTGCAAGAGGGAACTCAGGGCTGGTTCAGGGGGGTTGGTTGTGGAAGGGACTCAGTGTGCAGGAAGGTCTGTGGGCTCTGGGAGGGGGCTCAGGCCTGGGGCAGAGGCTTGGGCTGCAGACTCCAGCCAAGTGGTGCTTACCTTGAGCAGCTCTGAGTCCTGGTATGCAGTACAGCAGGACTAAATCAGGCTCCCTGCCTGCCCTTTCCCCATGTCACTCCCAGAAGCAGCCCACAAGAGCCTCCCTGGGGCCCCTCGGTATGAGAGGGCAGGTAGCTCCACATGCTGCACCTGTCTGCAAGTGCTGTCCCCATAGCTCCCATTAATGATAGTTCCCAGTCAATGGGAGCTGCAGAGTAGTTGCTTGGGGTAGGGGCAGTGCATGGCCTAGGGGCCACAGGGAGGGACTTGCAGGCCACTTCTGGGAGTAGTGCGGGGACAGGCAGGCAAAGAACCTGTCCTAGTCCTGCTGCACCTTTTAGTGGCCAATCACCTGGTTTGGCTTTGTAAGCCTCTGAGAGATTGAGCCCAATTCCAGGAGACTGCTGGCAAAACTGGGAGGCATTTCAAATCCACGGTGTATCAAAGTGGCAGTGCCGCACGGAGTCCATATATGGGCTCCATGAGGTGCTGCTGCTTTGAAGTACCCTCTTTTCCCCCCACCACTTTGCTACCTCTGTCTGATAGAGGCAGCAAGGGGGGGGGAATCAACTAGTTGACTTAATTATCCGATAAGCATTTGCTTATCAGATAGTCGACTAGTCCTTAACATCCTTAGTACAAACACAGAACAAAAAGACTATTTCTCTCCCAAACAGCTACAATCTATATGAAAGATGACAGATGGAGACAGACAGATGCAGAAATACAAGGAAACAGTAAGACAAATCTACAGAAAACATTTTGATATTTAGGAGCTAAAACAGAATAGAAAGTATGCATCTCAAGGCTTGTCTCCACTACAACTGTAATTGACACTGGGGTCAATTTAGTGAGTCTAGTGAAGACCCACTAAATCAACCACTGATAGCTCAGATTTTGACTTTGTTACTCCACCAAAATGAGATGAGTAAGGTGAGTGGATCAGAGAGTTTCTCTTGTCAACATAACATGGTGTAGACCCTGCATAATTGTGTAACTTAGATCAACTTTCCTCATAGTGTAGACCTGACCTCATTCATATGAACATATCTCCTACCTACCTACCGACCATGATTTTTACTTTCTGCTTTAAGAGCAAGAAAGAAGGCTGAGAGTACTTCCAAATAAAAAATGCTGTGCCACAAATCAGACCTGTCTTCTGCTATAATTAAATAAAGACCAATCAAAACAATAGGATACAATAAAACCAATAACAAGCCGTAGTAGTTATACAGCACAACTGGGCCTTACTAATCTCCACACCTTACAATATAAATAGCTGTTCATGGAGTTAAAAAAAAAGTGATTTACCACTATCACACAGACCAGGCTAAGAACAGCCCAACTTACTGAGTCCTCATCCAGTGCCTTCGCCACAAGATCAAACTTTTCATGTTCATCTGCTCTTTAACATCTCTATTTTATTCATCCAGTACAATATGAAGAGAATCACTATAGTTTATATCCAGTTCACCATCTGGGTCTTGTGCAACAGACTACTGAAGAAGCAAGAAAAGAGGTGCAAGTTGATGCTTGCATTTCTAGCTCAGCATCTACACTGGCTTCTAGACAGATGTGCTGGGAAATGTTCAATTCACCCAAATACTGTTCACATTGGTCTTTAGAATTTGAGGGAAACATTTCTGTTGGCATTAAGGTTTGTGAAACCTTTAATAAAACCAAAATTAGGGGTCTCTATTACCTGCCAATGGACACTATTGTAGAGCCTGCTCTAGCAGGCAGAAGGAACAGAGGTCTGGCAGATCCTGGCTCATGGGGTGCAGCAAAAGGAGTGACACTACCTGATCTCATGGAATCTTCTGTATGAGGTATCCATGGAGTTTGAGCTGCATTATGCAGAATGGGCAGACCTTGGCAGGGATGGAGGAATATCTTTATCATTTTATCATTCCTTCCCCAACCCATGAATCTTTTATGGTTAATGCTTATCCACCACTTGGAGCCTGTGCTGGCTGCTCATGGTGTTTTCCCCTCTGAGTAGCTGAGTAACGAGTCATGGACTCTCTGCTTCAAGAATCTGGGAGCTCTTGGCATTGAAAGTAGGATCAGATTAAGGCAATATAGGACCCCAAAGCATTCCATGAAATTGGGGCCCTGTGGCTCCAACAGAGTGCTTTTGGCAAGGAAAACCCTGTACTTCCCAGAGCAAAGTGTCAGCTGAGGACTCCAACCCTTCTAAGCATCAGGATGGCAACAGGGTCTCCTTGTATTTTCCCCAGTAGACAGGGCATGTCTGTTGGGGTGGGGGAGTGGACCAGGAATACTGTACTCTTCCCCTTCTACATTCAGAGCAGGGCCCCATGCCGGGAGAGGATATAACTCACTGAGTCTCTAAGCATGTGCCCCAAAAATAAGCACATCAAAGCACAAGCATTGGCTCTCTTAGACATTTCAATTCCTTTCCTGTGACTTAACTCTTTGAAATAGCCATTCATGGGCAAAAGCAAACCCATGAGAAAAACTGAGCCCTTAAATGCTTTCAAAAAGCCACATGCCTGTGTTGAATAAAACCAAAACTACACAAGCTGTAACATATTTTCAACATCCAGTGCCAGAGATCATATAAAACTGTCAGATTAGATTTGTACTGTAAAGTTTCTGTTAAAATAAAGTCATGCCTGATAACATTGATATACTACACACTGTATGTAGGCAAATCAATATTATCATTATCCCCGGGTGTGCTATAGTCAAACAGGGCTAGATAATCAAAGCAGACTGCATTTAAGAGAAAATAAGAAATATTTGACATCTTTTAAACATTTGCAAGTCTAAAAGTTAGAGCCCTGATGAATCAAAGTACAAAAGGAGAGTTCTGACAGCACTCCATGGAAAGATAATATTTTTGGCTCACCATTATAGAATCACCTACATGTGAAACAACCATGTAGTGCAGTGAAGACTATAGTTTTGATGTTCTAACAAAGGCCTCTTTGGAGCAACATGGATTTACATCAGCTGTGGACTTGACCCAGAAAGCATGTACTGTGAGAAACAGAAACACACCATGGGATTTAAGATATTGTTTGACAGCTTTTGTGTGGTATTGTTGTTGATAAGGTTAATGCTGTTTAGTTTATGTAGTTAGAATCCCACACTTTACAAAATAGTAAATGTCTAAGCTTCGATGCAAAGCATGAAAGTTTGTCTGTTTGACCAAGAGCTCCTCCTAAACAGTAATTTGGTATACCAAATTTGGTATACAGTTTTCTCTTATCATAACTTATAGCGAGGTAAGGGTTTGGTTGTGCCAGGAAAACTGGATGTGCCTGGAATGGGATTGTTTCTCATAAAATCAAACAGAAAAGAGACAGAGTCACCAAAGCAAGTACAGTCCTCAAAATTGTTATAACTTAGTGAATGTTGAAAGAGACTGAATCAAGATAAGCCAGAAAAATAGGATGAACCTTGAATAGGATTACTTCTCGATAAATCATACAGAAAAGAAATTAAGACAGAGAAATCTGGAGCAGTGGTTTGTTTTGGCATAGTTAAATGAATGCTTAAGATTTGAAAACTAGAAAACAAAGTTATTGGAAACCAAAGCGACCATAGCTCTTTTTTGTTAAAACATAGCAAATTATAAGAGTTTATAGGGATGAAGAAAAAAATATACTTGATGGAATTCCTATTTTAAAAAAATTACTAATAAAAAAAATCAAATGCATAAATTTTAACAATCCCTAGTCATAAGCCCTGATGCTGTATTATTTGGACACCCAAAGGTCTCAAAGACTTCAAATGACAGTTCCCTGACCATAAACAATGCATGATCAGTGACCACATCTTGGCTATGTCTACACTATAGAGTTTGGGGTTTTTTGGAAAAACAGATGTTTTTCTGAAAAAACTTCACTTATGTCCACACTGCAAATGTGCTCTTTTGAAAAAAAAACTGAAAAAAGAGAAGTTTTTCTGATATTGCTAAATCTCTTTCTAAGAGGAAGAAGCCTTTTTCCGATAGAGCTCTTTCAGAAAAAGGCATGTGTGGACGGGGAAGAGGGAGTTCTTTTGAAAGAAGAGGAAAGAGGAAAAAGCACAGATGTCCTGGTGGCCACTCCATCCATAATAATCACAGCTTAAATGCGAGATAGCATCCATTCAGTGTGGACGCTATCTTTTGAAAATGCAGATCACATTTTCGATGTGCTTTGGCAGTCTGGAAGATCTCTTCCGGAAAAGCTTCTTCTGAAAGAAGCCTGCAGTCTAGACGTAGCACTTGTTCTCCATTCTGCTCTACAAACGTTCTTTAATCATGACCTACCACTGCCCCACTGCTCTAGTCTTGGGCCTTTTTACAACAGAAAATAGCACTTATGCCAAACTGTGTAGTAGTTTTACAAGATGGAAAAAGAACCAGCCAAGGTTAGAGTAGAACCAATACATTTTTAACTTGTGACACAAAACAGATTTGAACACAGGTCAATTGAGTTGACTAGTGCATTAATCTACTATGTTGCCCTGGGCTAAGCTCTCTTAAAAATGGCAGCACATTTCGTGGTAAATAAGGTCTTTAAAATGAACATCCCCCAAAAATCTTTTCTCTCATCCTTTTACTTTTCATTAAACAGGCAATCCAAATCTTTTTATGTACTACCAAAGCTAGATAGATCCACCCTTACCACTGTTCCTGTTAAAAAATTCATATATATATTCACACACACCAGACATACCGGTCAGTACTTGAAAAGAAACTTTAGCCAGTTTTGTTCTTAAGTGATAATCAGAGAAATCCTCCATCACGTGTTGCTGCAGTGTGAGTTGGCCTTACCAGGATGAAGAGTCATGCAGATGTTACCCAAATGCTTCCATTAACTTAATCTTTCTCAGACGAGCCCTTCTGCTGCCAAATGCTTAAGAGTGTCACTTGGGATTTAGATGCCATTTTTGTTCACTACAGAAGACTGGTCATGTGTAGAAATCTGCAGGCATGATAACAGGGTTTAGAGAACACCATGAATATAGATTACTAGCTACAATTTTAAAAAAATGCTACTTGATTTTTTTCATCAAGGTCTTAATGATTGAACATGTTTTATAAAATGTAAACATAGAACAAAATAACAATAATAGTAGCTGGTGGGTATACTGACAATATATAGATGTAGATCTAAATGTGATAGGTACAATAAACACCTGCTACAGGAAAACAAATTCACATCTATTTTCATTAATGCAGTTTTATGTTCAGAAAATGCATTGGACTCTAACTTATTATGAATGAAGCCTGTCTGTACAAATGTAGTTATATAGCAGGAAATAATAGTATGAAATAACAGGAAATGCTATATGTATATTTAATTGTATACGTTTACTTCATGCTTTAGAGAAAGGATTAACAAGTCCTATCTATAGTATTTTTCATTTGTATTTTTATCTTCATTTTTATCTGTATGTGCTACAGCCAAGTAATTCCAACAGTAAGCCAGTTCAGAAGGACAGATGTTCCATTTCATTCTATTCCCAGACTAGTCACTCTGTAAAATTACATTCCTCTTGAAAGTAGAACAGTTTAAAGACTATCACAAGTTTTAAAGGAGCACGGCAAAGCAAAAATAAGCATTGAGCTAAGGCCCAATTTTTTTTATTGAATGTCCTAAACTAAACCATTTATCAGAGAAATAAAATTTAAAATTATTTTTCATCTTGTAAAATCTTCCTGGTTAACCGAAGAAATCAGAGAATGCGACAACGCAAATGTCACAAGTTTCACTGCAACCCATACAATCCATGTGGTATTTGTAAAGTCACAGAGTGATGCACAGTAGGATATTTTCAATGACCCTAAGAAGTACTGAAAGGATTTCTCAGGGCGATAAATATTAGTTAAAAAGCTAATTTCGTGTGCATAGTGCCCACTGTAAGTAGGAACATTCAGCATAGAAATCTGTATTTAACTCTATTTCAGTTTACCTTTCTGACATCATTACTGTTGTCTACTTATGCCAGTGTTGTTCTACAAGACATCCTCATATCTCAAGTCACATGCAGTCAAAGAACTAAACATCTAGGTTGAATCCATTAATATAAACATGTATGGTAGGGAAGATGGATGATTGACAAGATAGTTATATATAAAAATCTCAAGAAAGAAAAGTAAAGGGAATAAACTTTTTATTCCACAGATTAAAAAATGAGGAGTATAGGATCTTTTGAAATGGGGCATTTCTGTCGAAAATGCCCCATCTAAACTGCCTTTTTTTTTCAAAAAGCCCCGTTTCGAAAAAAGCGGCAGCTGCCAGTATGCAAATGAAGTACAGGATATTTAAATCCCTGCTTCACTTGCACTTTCAATATGTCTAATTTACACCCCTCTGCCGACAGAGGGGTGTAGTTTAGACACACCCTAAGGGATACACAGTGTACTGCAGGATTTGACACTTGGTCCTGAACAAAAAAGAGAGGAACAGACCCTGCATAATCTAGGTTGCATCAAAGACCACCAAGAACATGTTCACTGGTGCTGACTGCAGCCAACTGAAGCTATTTTATATTCCATGATATTCATCCTATTTATAGTCATTGTGCACCTAGACCTGTAAATACTTGCAGATGTAACTTTACTCACCTGAGTAGAACTTTTTACTTTCATGGGACTGCCAATGTGCACTGGAGCAAGATTACTCATGGTGTTGGCAAGTGTGAACCCTAAAAAATCATGAGTACTGTTATGCATTATTGAAAGAGTTCTGCTCAGTGACAGCAAACAAGCAGCTGGCAATAAAACCATGGTGGTTTTCCAGGGTTAATGCCTGGCTAGCCATCATCACTATATTTACCTGCATAGCCACAGGTACAGGCAATTGCAACTCCCATTGATTGCAGATTGGTCGTTCCTGGCCAATGGGAGCTGTCAGAAGTGGCGCAGACCAAAACACCAATTCATGCAGCTTCCATTGACCGGGAATGGTGATCCACTGTCAATGGAAGTCACGGTTGACCATACCTGCAGAGATGCAGGTAAATACTGTACATTGGTTTGGGCCCAGCAGGGGTTAACCCTGGTGCACCATTTCCACTCTGCAGGCTGGTATTTGCCCACCGCTGCAGTAAACTATTTTCAAACATTAATCACCCTGCTTGGGTTTTTTTTTAATGTCCAAACACAAGAAAGACTAAGTCACCCTGACTAACTTTGAAAAATAAAAGCAAAACCTTCAAAAGAGCATCTGAAACAAATCTTGTTCTATAGGCCAAATTCTATACTTATTTATGAGAGTGTCTATCTGGAGTCAATCCGCTAATATTGAGTTACACTGATATAAAGCCAAATTTGGCCCACTTGTATTTGCACAAATAATGATTTTAAATAGTATAAGACATTGATTACATTTGCAAAGAAATTACCATGTCTGAATTTTCACCTGGAAATATTCAGCTCTAAGTAAAATTTTAGAGTCAACCTATAAACAGCATTTTTCAGTGGTTTATAGAGAAAAAAATGACAATGGTGCAAACAGTGCCTCTATACATTCTGCTGATATTATGTGAGAATTGGTTTAACATTAAAAATATACATACCACAAAAACTCATATAGGTTCAACACTGCAAGCTGCCAATTTAATTTGAAATGACTTGACAGAAAATCTCTAGGCCACCAAATGCTATTATAAAGCACTGTATTCTCATTAAAGGTCTGAGCCTTTTTCTCTCCCAGAGGGCAGACTCCTCATGAGGCTGTCCCTTTGGCATAACATGTGATAGAGCTAATCTGTCTTCCCTTGGACAGCACTGCGGATATGCAAACCCAGGTGGCACTAATAGGTTTACAGTAATAACTATGGAATTGGATACAGCATGTTACACTGTGAGAAATTCCCATAGATCAATTTTTTGTGGTAAAGGTTAACAAAGAGACATAGAGCCATAGTATTAGTTTTATGGGTCTGTTTTCAATTTTATAGTTTAAAAAGAAAAAGAGAATCTCCCATATTTAGATAGCACATACATATTTAACTTTTCAAATATATCTGCTTTATGTGTATATACAAACATGCTCAGTGAGAAAAAGTCTGCTTTCACTCACACTGTTGTAAATCCAGAGGAATTCAATTGGATTCAAAGGAGGCCCTCTAGTTTTACATGGAAAGACTCAATTCCAAGGAAGCAGAATATGGCCTATCAATTTTTTGACCAAACCAGGTATCATACTTTTATGCTCATACACTTCAGTCATATGTTTGTAACCTTACTGGAAACTAAACTGAGATTAAACTGATTGTTTTATTATAACGACTGCTCTTTACAACAATAAGGTATTTTCAGTTGCAAAGCATTATAGGATGAGACAAAGTAGTGGTCTGACCATTTGTGATCATTAAAGATCCCAAGGCACTCTTTGTAAGATTAGGGTTTTAATCTCAATGTACTGGCCAAATTCCAACATGGCTAATTACATTCTCTCTACCTACAGTCTCAGCATGTTACCCAAGATGGTTGTATTTCCATTGTAGATGAAGGGTTCCTTGCATATGGAATTTACAAAACTGTTTACTATCTTTTGGTATGAAAGGTGCTAAATAAGATATAATGTCATCATCATCGTCATTAAGATGAAGTATAGATATTCTAAACAATAGAAAAGGCCTTCTGTTAAAATGGAACATTTAGTTTAGTAATTAAAAACACTATTGAGACCTAGAGGCATATCTGTATTGTGGTGTATATTGTTTCAGACTGAAATGTCATTCTGAAAGCCTACATTCGCTCCCATAGATGGAACATACTGGAAAGTTAAACACACAACTTTGGTGATTGCTGAGAATGTCTACAATCTCACTATAAATTCACCTAAAAATCAATAATAATCCTGTAGCACCTTAGAGAATATCCAAAAAATAGATAGTTAGTATCATGAGCTTTCGGGGGCACAAACCACTTCTTCAGATGACAAATATGGAGCAAGAAACACAGAAGATGAATTATAAAGCAGAAAAAGAGGGAAGAGGGGGAGGAGGGAAAAAAACCCTATCAATTAAAGTGTCCATATTAAATTAGCATGGACATTTTAATTGACAGGCTAAATTAACACGGACATTTTAATTGACAGGTTTTTTCCTCCTCTTCCTCCCCTCTTTTTCTGCTTTATTATTCAAACTCTGTGCCTCTTGCTCCATATTTGTCATCTGGAGAAGTGAGTTGTGCCCACAGAAGCTCATGATACTATCAATATTTTTTGGTTAGTCTTGAAGGGTACGTTTAGACTACAAGCCTCTTTCGAAAGAGATCGTCTAGACTACAGCCAGTACTTTCGAAAAAGCGAGCCATTTTTTTGAAAGAGAGCACCCAGGCAGTCTGGATGCTCTCTTTCAAAAAGCACAGTTTGTATTACATAGCGTCTTTTTTTGAAAGAGCACTTTCGAAAAAAGGCATTATTCCTCATAAATTGAGGTTTTCCATGGTCGAAAAAAATGCCGCATTCTTTTGATTTACTTTTGAAAGAACACAGCAGCAGTCCAGATGCAGGGGAAGTTTTTTCGAAAAAAAGGCCACTTTTTTCGAAAAAACCCTGTAGTCTAGACACACTCCAAGGTGCTACAGGACCATTGCTTTTTTAAGTTTCTTTTCATAGAATCATAGAATACTAAGACTGGAAGGGACCTCAAGAGGTCATCGAGTCCAGTCCCCTGCCCTCATGGCAGGACCAAATACTGTCTAGACCAACCCTGATACATTTATCTAACCTACTCTTAAATACCTCCACAGATGGAGATTCCACAACTTCCCTGGGCAAATTATTCCAATGTTTGAATACCCTGACAATTAGGAACTTTTTCCTAATCCTCCCTTACTGCAGTTTAAGCCCATTGCTTCTTGTTCTATCCTCAGAAGTCAAGATGAACAAGTTTTCTCCCTCCTCCTTATGACACCCTTTTAAATACCTAAAAACTGCTATCATGTCCCCCCTCAATCTTCTC